CCCATCGCCGCCCCTGACAAAAAGAAATATTTTCATAAAAGAGGGTTGGCCTCTCCTGGTTGATGCCTGATCCTGAGCTGAGCCAAACTGTTAGTTCAGGTGGCAAGTGGAATCAGCTAGAACTCTGTTTGACGTTTGCTCTGCACCCTCTGCTACGGTTTGCCGTATCATTTTCCCTCCAACGCATTTGGGCTGTTGACAGTAAGAAAAACTAGGAAAGAGAATTTGGAGAATTACAGGGATGGAGAGAAGAAAAGAAGGTTGTTAAATGACCTCCCGTTGGCATCCCTTGCTAAATAACTAGCAAGCATGAAATGCGACAAGATTTACAATGTTCGGAAAACCTGCTATGTAATCAGCAATGATTCATATTGTAGAAAAATAGAATGAATTTGGGCTGGGCGAAGAGGAGGCTTGTTCAAGAAAAACACACAAACATTTTTCTCAACTGAGACAAGCCGATTACACTGAGAAGATCAGGGGAACATCTAAGTGGAGACACAGACAAGATATTAACTGAGACCGGATCAAGAGCAACACCAAAATTAGTCAAAAAGGAGAAACCAACAACTTACGGAGAACTGGAAGTGCAAATGGTCTAAAAAAATTATAGCAGCCGCAAAAGGAGCTGGAATGGAGAAAAGTGGGAGGTCTCTTTCTCCTCTATCTCACCTTCTGACACATCAAAGGGTATAAAAGTAAGCTGAGTCAGAGAGACAGAGACGGTGCTAAATTATCCGTCAGAGAGACATGCAAAAAATGAATCAGAAGCCTTGTGCAGATGGTCATGTTTATGGAGTGTAGACATGGATATTGGCAGGGAGGGAGTGGGGGACATATAAGGGCTGGACCTCCAGGGTTCTCCCCTCCACATGTTCTAGGGCTCATGGGCAAATTGGCTGATAGAGAATCGATGCACATTTTGCATAGAATAGGAAGCTGTGCACATGGGGTCTTAAGCATGTGGTGCTAGGTGGCATGATCCACAGGGGGCAGGCCCATGCATGCTCGGGTGCAAGGAGCACTGTAGGGACCACAGTCACAAGTCACTATAGGCCGGACAGAGAAAATTCACCAGTCTTTTGATTGATTCTTCTACCCTACACATATTTGTACGCAATTTTTGCATAATGTACACATAGAGAGTGATTTTTTGCATGTTCTTTTCACCTGTACAGTGGTGCCCCGCAAGACGAATGCCTCGCAAGACGGAAAACCTGCTAGGCGAAAGGGTTTTCCGTTTCTGAGCTGCTTCGCAAAACGAATTTCCTATGGGCTTGCTTCGCAAGACGAAAATGTCTTGCGAGTTCCTGCAGGGTTTTTTTCCTTTTTCCCAAGCCGCTAAGCCGCTTAACAGCTGATCCGCTAAGCTGCTAAACCGCTAAGCCACTTAACAGCTGATCGCTAAGCCGCTTATCAGCTGATCCGCTAAGCCGCTTAACAGCTGATCCGCTAAGCCGCTAAGCCGCTTATCAGCTGATCCGCTAAGCCCGCTAAGCTGCTAATTGCGCTAATCCGCTAATGGGCTTGCTTCGCAAGACGAAAAAAACCGCAAGACGAAGAGACTCGCGGAACGGATTCTTTTCGTCTTGCGAGGCACCACTGTATATAAATGCTAATGCCCACTTTACATTTTATATGCATTTTTGTGCACGCTACTTGGCTGAGAACAGGACCGCACCATTTGGAGAAGGGCGAATCCTGAAGGATGCTTGTGTTTCGATTTGTGTGCTCTTTCGGAAAGTGTGACTGCGATAGGTTTGCCTTTAAATGTGAACTGAACTGGCTTCTCCTCCATCCGTAATTGTAACTTTGAAATCCAGAGTGAGGGGACTGAGAGTCAGTTGGTGGGAATGGAAGTGGCTCCTAAATTTTGCACCCTGATCTGCATTAACGAAACATTTTTATTTTATTTTTTGGATTCAGGCAGAACACAGCATCCCTTGGTTATTTGTGAGACTAAATTTTGGATGTGAATATTGTTGTCCACTGATGTAAACAATGATCATGAACCATTCTTATGGCTGGTTTGATCAGCTTCACTAACTCTTGAACGAACGTGAGCAAAGAGAAGAGAAAAAGAAATGAGCATCATGTTGTGCACTGGAACGCTTTGCCAGTGGCGCTTTATTTTCAGTGGGATCCACATTCCCATGGAAGAGGGGGCCACAAGTGGCTCCCCAAAACCAATGAGCTTGCCCCCCTCCCCCCATTGCTGGACTCCTGTCATTGACATATACTTTTTTTCAGAGAATAATAATAATAATAATAATTTATTATTTATACCCCGCCCATCTGGCTGAGTTTCCCCAGCCACTCTGGGCGGCTTCCAATCAAGTGTTAAAAACAATACAGCATTAAATATTAAAAAATTCCCTAAAGAGGGCTGCCTTCAGATGTCTTTTAAAGAGAAGATAGCTGCTTATTTTCTTCACATCTGAAGGGAGGGCGTTCCACAGGGCGGGCGCCACTACCAAGAAGGCCCTCCGTCTGGTTCCCTGTAACCTCACTTCTCGCAATGAGGGAACCGCCAGAAGGCCCTCAAAGCTGGAGCTCAGTGTCCGGGCTGAATGATGGGGGTGGAGATGCTCCTTAGAAATATACATTGCCTCCTCCATGCCCCCCCTTACACAATCCCAGCCAACGGTACAGAAATTGGTCATCTTCCACATACCAGTCCATATAGTTCATGTTATTTTGCACAACAGCTGTTTGGGGAGCCTGAAAGAATCTTAAGAAATTTCTTCCAGAGCTCAGCTCCAAAGAGGAAAATATGCATTTGCATCGAAAGCAGAGAAACCACCTCAAAGTCAGCCCCAAAGAACAGGCAGGTTTTCAGTCGTTTCCATCGGCTGTGGTCTCTTAAGTAGCACCAGAGGGCAGACAAGTGATGCTCAGGGAGCAACTGAGAGGCCGAGCAGGTGCGCTTGCTCCATCTGGCACCATGCTGTCTATCCATTTCCAGGCTACGTTAGCAGGAGTTTCTCTCTGACACAAAGTGCCACATATTTAGTCATAGCTGCAATTTCAGAGTGCTCTCCCACAGCACATGTACTTTGCGACATTGTTTACTTGGGAGACGAAGCCCGCTGAACAGAACATTAAAAATCCGCCTGCTTCTGTGTAAAAGAGTGCTAAGAAATGCCTCAAGGAAGTGAACTTCATCTCTGGCAATGAGACATGAAAGAAAATGTATTTCACAGCAAATTAGTTTGTTGTGCTTAATATGCTACCAGATGCTTAGGAACTTTAAACAAAGAAGGGCTTTCTTCCTTTCTGGGTAGTTCCAACACTCTCAATAAAGCAGCTTTTGGTTTTTGCTGAGATTGTTGTTGTTGTTGTTTTTATACAGCCAAATCAACAAATCCAGCGTCATACCATCCCTAGGAAACTTGAATGCACACACAAAGATAAGATTGATGGGATACGATATTGACATCTGGGAGCAGCACACAGAAACGCCATTTACCTTCCCGCCAGAGTGGTACCTATTTATCTACTTGCACTTTGACGTGCTTTCGAACTACTAGGTGGGCAGGAGCAGGGACCAAACAACGGGAGCTCACCCCGTCACGGGGATTCGAACCGTCAACCTTCCGATCGGCAAGCCCAAGGCTCTGTGGTTTAGACCACAGCGCCACCCACGTCCCAATGCAACAAATGAATGACAATGTCTATATCCTTACTAGATATGTCACACACACACACACACACACACAAATATAAATAAATCAAAAGGATGCCATCATAAAAGCAGGAACTTCTGACTGAGTGCACCTGAGTAGTCAGACGCATTGGCGGCCTGCCAACTTCTTCCCCTGCCTGATGAGAAGCCTGAACTGACCCAAGACAGGGAGTCCACATTCCCCCAAAGGAGGACTAAATGTCCCAGCACGCCTGTGACATTAATCATGTCCACTCCTGCCAAGGTGAAAGGAGTGTGAGTCACACCATCTTCCCACCCGGCAGGCTGGGACACGCATTCCCTCGGGTGTCCTGGATAGGTGTGTGATGCTCCACCAAGGAAGTGGGGCAATCCTTTGCTCCCATCGGCTCCCTCTTCTCCTGCCCCAGAGAAGTCTAGGGACCTTGCAGCCGGCTGGTGGGGAGAGGCGGTGATGGAAAGTGCTCTGGGTTTTGTTTTGTTTGTGCACAAAGCACTGATCCTTTATACAAACAGGCATCCACACACCCCTTTCAAGGGTGAACAAAATGATGTGTTTTTGTTTTTTTTTTCATTTCCGAGGTAAGCTTTGGAACTAAGTCACAATGTGTTTAATGAGCCTTTGTCCAAAGTAACGGTGAACGGCCTGAGCCTTTGAAATAGCTGTCAGCTGTACACAAATGCAGAGCTTTTAACAACTCAATATCTAGAGGTTTTCCTTGTACTAAGCATAACTCTTTTCTTCCCATTACTGACATATTCATTACCATATCTTTAAAAAAGCCAGCCACTATTTACTTATGATGTTCTGAAACAATTTATACCAAAAGGGGTCAAATTTAATGGCCACATCTAAAGAAAATATCATAAATAGAGACAGTAAAAACAAAACAGAACTGCAAGATTTAAGACACATACGCTCATAATTTAATGTTTGACAAAGCAAAGCCTTATTCCAGGGCATGAGGTGCTGATGGCTCAGAGACAATCCCTGCCGACTCACGGAAATGCAGCCAAAGATTAGAAAAGCAAAGTTTGAGAGACAATCAGGAAATAAGCAGTTTGGCAACAGCTGTCTCAGAAAAACGGAAGACGGGCATATACAAAAGAAAAAAAGGGGGGGGGAGATAGCAACAGAAACTGTCAACATGAGGAAAGGGATGAATGGAAGAATTTAAAGCATCCTGGAAGGGAAATATATCTGTTGGAAGCCGCCCAGAGTGGCATGGTAAAATAATAATAATAATAATAATAATAATAATAATAATAATAATAATAATAATAATAATTTGTCCAGGCATATAAAATAGGCCAAATTGGAAAACACGACACCTACCGTCCCAGGCCTGGGATATGGAATCCTCCCATCGTATTGAACCCAGCGGTGGTCCAGACTCTCCTTGTGGGCATAATGTCCATTGAAAACCGCTCGGATATCGGCCATGCTGTACACACAAACAGCAGAGCCCTTGAATACAGAGCTGCAAAAACAGAAGCAAGTCGTGAGTGCAGCGTATTCAGCTCAGCACCTGAAAACGACCGCTGACTTCAAGATCAATTTACGTATCGAACTTTCAAAGCGAATAATTCCTTCTTCTTTTTTGCATGATAACAACAAATCCCCCCTAAGTACACCGGGGACTTTTTGGTGGGTGAAAATCACATGCTCCATCATTGCATATAATAGGAAATGAACCAGATCTAACTGGTCAAATTCCATATATTCAACGATATTTTCAAAGTTTAGAAAAATTACCACTGCTGCCAAAGACAATCTAGATACACATGTGAAAGACTTTCTTGTTTGCTTTTTTACTGAAAAGGGAGGCAGAATCTTGAAGAACAAATGAAGTTTTCTTCCATCCTCACCAAACATCTGCAACATGCAGTACATTTGTGGCAGGAAGTACATAAGGTTCCTTGATAGATAAAATTGACATGGCAAGGATTCCCAGAGGGTGGGAAGCTACAAATCATTAACTGAAAGTATTATAGTGCAGGGACGCGGGTGGTGCTGTGGGTTAAACCACAGAGCCTAGCACTTGCGGATCAGAAGCGTCGGCGGTTCAAATCCCGTGACGGGGTGAGCTCCTGTTGCTCAGGTTCCAGCTCCTGCCAACCTAGCAGTTCGAAAGCACATCAGAGTGCAAGTAGATAATAGGGTACCTATTTATCTACTTGCACTTAAGGGTGCTTTCGAACTGCTAGGTGGGCAGGAGCTGGGACTGAAAGACGGGAGCTCACCCCGCCGCGGGGATTCGAACCGCCGACCATGCGATCGGCAAGCCCTAGGCGCTGAGGTTTTACCCACAGCGCCACCCGCGTCCCCTAACCCAGAGGGTAGGAAGCTACAAATCATCAACTGAAAAGAATCCACTGACTGTCTCTAGATTATCATGTATAGTGGACTTCATAATTAGAATTATAAAATTGAAACAAGGCTCGGGAACTAGCAGGCCCTGGGCTAAATCTACCTGTTTCCATTCCCTATTGCCATTTCTAAAGAGAAAAGAGGGGCAGGGATGAAATGCCTGTGGAAAACTTCCATTTTGCACCAAGTCTTTTGTCAAAGTCCCTCAAAAATAGTTGCTGATCAGCGGTTTGAAGTAATAATCTATCAAGCACAGTTCCCATTGAAGTTGGAATCCATCTTATACGAGTTTATGAGAGGGTAATGGTTGGTGGGCTCTGCTGAAGGGCTGACATACTGGCTTGTAACCCTTGCAGAGTTTTGTTTAAACCTTGAAGAACAGAAGGGGTTCCATGCTAAATGGAACGCTGGGCTTGGATGTCAGCCATATGTTATGTTTGTATCTTCCCTTCCCCGCAAGAGCTCAAAAGTGCATTTTCGCCTCAAAGCATGACGGTGAGACCTGTCAGGCAAAGAGAACGTGCTTTGGCCAAGCCTAATAGCTGGATCTGGGACTTGAACCTTGATCTCCCACATCTGAGCCCAGCGCTTCATCTGCCACACCAACTGGCTCTCACTGGGGGGCACTGAGAAAACCACAATTTCCCTGCCTGCGCTTAACTCCTAAGGTGGTTGTAAAAAGGCAAAATAATATTTACTGTAATCCAATCTGAGGCCTAGTATTGCATTATAAACCAGCCATAGACGCTCCATTTTAGTTTGTGCACAGGTTTGGTCTCCAGGAGTAAAGCGTACCTGGTGGTAGTGAAGACACCATAAACCATAGGATTTCTTTCATCTCTCGTAGAAAGTAAGAACACGTCTTCTGCAATGGAGAATATGTTGCTTTTAAAGTTAAGTATGTAGGTATTTTCTTACTTAAATGCATTTTTCAAATTTGCAAACTTTTGGCTAACCCCTGAAAATAAAGCAATGGCTCTCACTTTTTAGTTTCTATTGCTGCGTAGGCAAATAGTTTACTATTTCCCAGACCCTAATTATTAGTATGCCTCACTAATACACTCCAAACCCATAACTGCAAATGCTGTACATGTGGTAAGCCTCTGTGCCTGCATACAGAATATAACATGTGGCAAGATGTTGCACGTGGATGTACAATTCCTGCAATCTCCTCTTGTCAAAAAGGAGAGCATGAGAGCAAGTAGCTACATGCAGAGTGTGTCTCTTGTGGTACCCTACATTACACAAATGTTGGGCAGTGCATGTGCGGGCCCATGGCCACGTGTCCAGACACAGGCTGTGTCAACCAGTCTGCAAAAGCAGAACAAAAACAAAACAAAACCCTGAAATGAAAGCTATCAAATCTGTAAATATCAGTCCGTGTCTGAAGTCCTGAAAGGGCTCCATGCTTATGCTTGTACCGGCACAGCCACCCAGCTTAAGCCATTTAAGCCACTGTTACTCTGTGTGATGGAATGTTGTGATTCAGAGTTACTTTAAACTCCAGCTCATTCTCTCCACTTTGGGACTGAAAAGCTTGTAGACACAGAGTGGCCAGGTAGACATGAGGACCTGACGCAGGAACAGCTACAGTGGTACCTCGGTTTAAGAGCAGCCCTGTTTAAGAACGATTCGGTTTATGAATTCCACAAAACCAGAAGTAGTGTCCCGGTTTGCGAACTTTACCTTGGTCTAAGAAAGGAATGGGACACGGGTGGCGCTGTGGGTTAAACCACAGAGCCTAGGACTTGCCGATCAGAAGGTTCGAATCCCCGCAACGGGGTGAGCTCCCGTTGCTCGGTCCCAGCTCCTGCCAACCTAGCAGTTTGAAAGCATGTCAAAGTGCAAGTAGATAAATAGGTACTGCTCTGGCGGGAATGTAAACGGCATTTCTGTGTGCTGCTCTGGTTCTCCAGAAGTGGCTTAGTCATGCTGGCCACATGACCCGGAAGCTGTATGCTGGTTCCCTCGGCCAATAAAGCGAGATGAGCGCCGCAACCCCAGAGTCGGTCACGACTGGACCTAATGATCAGGGGTCCCTTTACCATTTAAGAAAGGAATCTGAACAGTGTAAGGGCACTGGCAGGGGCGAACCAAGGCATTATGACACCTGGGGTGGGGTGCCGCTATGTAGTGCGTATGTGCAGCACTGCTATGTCCGACGCACGTGCCGTACGTAGCAACGCCGCACATGCGCTGTACATAGCCATTTGCCGCCGGTGGCACTCCAGTGCCGTACAGACGGTGCTGGTATCCTCTGCTCGCAGCTGCAGCCGCTAACAGAGGATCCTCTACATGCTGCTGTAGAGATCCCACTGCTGTCCATACGGCGCTCAAGCGGCACTGGCAGCAAACTGCTATGTACAGTGCATATGTGGTGACGTTATGTACAGCGCATTTGTGCAACGCCGCACATGCGCTGTACATAGCGGTTTGCCGCCGGCACCGGGATCCTTTGGTCGTGGCTGCAGCCGTGAAGGGAGGATCCTGCCATGGCGGGGCAAGCTTTCGCGGGGTGCCTTCTTGTCACCCCCCCAGACATGGCACCCGGGGTGCAATGCCCCCACCCCCCACCCTGTTGCGACGCCACTGGGCACTGGTGGCCGTTTAAGAATGGTTTCGGTTTAAGAACGGACTTCCAGAACGGATTAAGTTTGTAAACCAAGGTACCACTGTATTTTCCTTCCTTCTTTTGCACTGAGACACACCTGCAAGACCCATAAACACAGTACGTCCTCCAATGCTCTGCTTCACTAAAGTGGCTTCCAAAGTCTACAATTTCAGGCATGGGGTAGATGCTGGAATGCTCGCCTGCAGCACTCCCCTCCCTTCAGATAGAAAGCTAGCACATAAGGGGAAAGGGTTTAGCCTTTCCCTTTGTATCCTATTATTCTATGTGCAAGGTTTCCGTGTCTTAAAATGCAAAAGTATTCACTCATGTGAGCCCCACCTGCCGTCTAGATTGCCACAGAACACGAGGTGACCAGCTCAATTTCTAAGCACAAGTCATAAACAAATATATTCTCTGGGTTTGTCGTGTGCTGCTTGCTTTTCCTGTACAAAGCAATGCAGATGTCAAGGCTCCGTTTACCTGTCCAGGCATGGTTGCCACCACTTGGCTATTACTCACATGCTGTTGCAATTAGTAGGAGTAAAAGTGTTTGCTCACCCACAGGATTCTTGTTTGCAGAGCTTTGTATAACATATTATGCAGGTGTCCCAAAGGGCTGCTCTTACTTGGCTGTCATGAGGAACCACATGGGTGGAAATCTTTGCATTTAGTAAGATTGGTGTGCAAAGAGCAGCAGAAGAGGCTGCCAATACAGGAGCCGGCGGCATGTCTAAAGGGAGGCCAGAACTTTAGCTTGGTACTCTCTAGAGATATCGGGTCCTCCCTTAAAGAGGGCACGTATTGTGGTGAGACCTGGACAACCGACACCCTGTGTTGTGGGTGGGTACGATTGGTCAGCCACAACACCTGATTGGTAGGTCCCTCGAAGCTGGGTACAATCTGGCCAATGGAACGCAGTCCAAATGGTTCGAGGGACCTATATATGCCCATGCACGTGACCCAGAGCTTCCTCTTTCAGCACGTGCATTCGGGACACCCGCCCACCTCTCCCTACTTTTAGGGCTTGTGCATGACCTTGCTATGCCGTTGTGTGTCATCTATTATTGGGACAGGGGCTCGGCAGGAATTTCCCCCACTTGGCTGATTGGCTGTTGCTGTTTGGGTTTCGCCTGCCACATAGCAAATCGTCACAGCTTGTAAGGTTGCAGATAGGCTCTGGTTCAGGTGATAGGGATGGGAGAACGCTCTCGCCATCCCTATGTGAAGGGTATTCCGTTAAAGGAATCCAGGGACTCGATGGTTTAGTCAACCCCTGAGAGGGTGCCTGAGTCCAGGGGGACATTTGGGTGGCAGAGACAGCCTGTTCCTGGCTTTCCGCTTATCCAGGGGTTCACCCTTGACTGACCTATGCTGGAACCCTGGGTCAGTGCTACTTGCATGGCAGGGAGCTAGTCGAACCAGAGCCAATTACAGTCACTTTCTGTAATCAATAAAGTTGTGGCCTAAATTCTGCCCAAAACCAAAATTTGAGTCCTGTGTGAATTTATTTAGGGGGGAGGTTTCTGGGTCTGAACATGCAAATTTTATGACAACAAAACCTGCTTACAGGGGTCTCCTTGGATACTGTGCCACAAAAAGTCCCCTCAACATCAGGGGGCTGTTAGTTGACCTCTACAGAGAAAGATTGCACTGTACACATTTTTGTTCCATATTGTCTGTCTACCTTACAGCTGACCCCATTTTTGGGACAATTTGGGAAGTGAGGGTTTAAAGAAATTTCCCATGCCCCCAGTAGCAGCTACTTTCAAATGAAGAAAATGGGTTTATAAAGTCTTGATCTTCTGTGATTAAAGAAGGGATGGGAGAGAGAGAGAGAACCACTAAAGCTGAAATTCACTTACGTAGCTCGTCAAAATGTGTAGCTGCTCCCTCTGGACCTGGGATCGAGCAAACGAGCCTGGCTTTCAGGAACGTGGTCCACTTGTTTATCAGACTGCGTTGGCCCCCCATGTCGTTCTGAAGGAAAAGGAAATAATGTAATTTAATTTCTGCTGGAAAGAAAGGAAGGCTTTTACCTAAACAGCTTGAAAAAGTGTAACAGGCCTGTTTTTCAGAAAGAAAACTTTTTCAGGGGAGGGGGGAATTATGAAAATGAAGCGATAATACTTCTACATTCGATGGGAGCAGAATAGTTAGCTGCAGGAGATTTTAACAAGCTGAGCAGCCATTTGTGGACGAGTGGGATCACTGTCATCCAGCACAAGCACCTCACCTTTCCCTGGGCCTGACATAGACAGATGAACTTCTTTTTCCATATGTAGGCTCCAGTCTAACACAGGTAGACTTAACTCATACAACTAACATGTCTCATAAAATCCTGGTAGCACCTATGCAATGAATCCTTGGATGGTTTTTGAGTAGAGCCTGGGTGGCCATCTGTCATGGATGCTTGAGCCGAGATTGCTGCACTGAAGGGGTTGGACTAGATGACGCCCCCCAAGGGATCTCTTCCAACTCTATGAGTCTATGAATAGCAGCACCAGAAAAGAATATCTGAGGGGCAGGGGGCAAGAAGGGGCAAACAATATATCTGATTGAAGGAGAGCTTTTTACCAACAGGATCAACTGGATCTCAGGCATTCCTGGTGATAGTACCTCTCTTTGGAATGACCTTCTCAGAGAAGGGCACCTGGCTGATAGCCTTGCAACTTTCTATATATGGAGTCCAACAATTTATTGGAGTCCAACAATACCTGGAGGACCACAGGTAAGCACACCAGCTCCAGACAATTGAACACAGATGCTGAACAACTGCACATTGTACGAAAAAGAGTTGTCTGGGATATAATTTTCATAGCTTCATTTTTCATCTCAGTTCCGTTCTTCCCCTTTCCAATGTGTCTGTGCCCTGGACACAGCTGATGGAAAACAGAAGGTCCTCAATTGAGTGCAGGGGACAGCAGTGGGCTGATGAGTTGATAATCTGCCTTTGTGCACCTTCTACAAAAAGTACATTTGGCCACAATGAATTCAGACTATAGGGTGCCACAGGGCTCTTAGTTGTCTTCACAATAAACCTCATTATATTGCTAGATAAAGCTCTTAAGGGTTTTCATTTCACTATGAATAACAACTTAATTAGCACCTACTGCTTAGTAGTCTCTTAAACTGTAAGGAAACCCCAGCGCTCCGCCTGCAAGTGACTCCTTCCAAGGAACAAGAAAGTACCTATCAAAAGTCTGCTATTCACTTGTGCCTGGGTGTTAGAAGCACGTACAGGAAGGCTGCCAAATGTGAGGGAGATATTTAACCCTAGTCAATTACAGTAAAACTATAGTCACATGGAAAATCTGAACTGACTTTTTCGGGAGGGGAAGGAAAAGGTACTAAGAAATTCAGGGCAATTATATGCTAGGGAGACAATGTAACTATCTTGTAGACCATCATGAACAGTTCACCACTTCTCTGATCACGATCATATTTGGCAAGAAGAACTGGAATAATGGCACAGAGCTGCCTAAGAAAAGCACACCGCTTTCAGAAACATCCTATTTTAACGTTTTAACAGTCAGACGCAAGCTGAAGCAAGTATTGCATCCATCAGCACCTTCAATGAAATTCAGAATCACATGACTGGAAAGAGAAGCACATGTGGCTGGAATTCCTTGTTTCTTTATATCTGGTTATCATAAATTTGGGGCGAGGGCCTTTTCCAGCCTTTGGCCACATTCGATTCCCCCATGGGCAAAACGTGTGGCACTGGTGGGCCAGAGGGGGAAATGGAGGGAGGAGACAAAAGGGGGCAGAACAATGGATGGTGTAACTCTGACTTTCGTAGAGAAAGCTAGACTCCAGCCATGTGAAAGCAAGATACAGGTTAAGAACAAGGTTCAGGCTTGGCAAATGCACTTGAGGAGGCCCCAATGGGGGCTGTGGTCTATGAATCCACAGAGAGGACTGAGGACTGGACAGAGAAATCATTATGCATTTTCTTTTTCATGAAACCAGCAAAACTTCCTCAAACAGGAGTTTTCTGTATGTAGGAATATGGGAATATGGGGAAATATGTGCACTATACATTTAAAGCAGCATCACACCACTTTAAACAGTCACGGCTACCCCCAAAGAGTCCTGGGAACTGAGAGCTGTGAGGAGACCCCTATTCCCCCTTCAAAGAGTTCCCTAGGAAAAGGGAAGGGCTGTTAAACCATTAGTTCATCTGCCCTCTGGACAAGAGAATGTCTCCCTGTCAGGAAGTGGTACAGGCAGCTTCATTTTGGCACCTGAAACAAACCACAAAATGGCGTCTCCCTCCTGCCTGCCTGGAGAGAGCTTTCCACAAATGGGGAGCCACTGTGGAAATGGCCTGTCCTTGTGTTGCCACCCTCTGGACTTCTTGCTGAGGAAGCACGCGAAGAGGATGATTGCAGGATCCTGGTCAGTTCCTTTGAGGAGAGCCAGTCCTTGATGTCCTGCGGTCCTGAACCACTACATGCTAATGCCAGGTCAATATGGGTGTTCAGGGGCAGTTCATTTTCGAAGACCTTGACTCTCAAAAGGAAAGGTGAGCATGCTCAGGGAGGTACCTAATTCAACACTAGAAATGGAGACGGCTTGGCTAATCCCCCTTCCCAGCAGGAATCACACTTTGAGCAACAGCTGCTCCTGAGGAAATGAAAGCAAATTGCAATGGCTTCAGCCATTGTTGCCCTCCAAGATGGAGTCTGGGGTTCCAAACATAACATGAAGGATGTGCTGATGCCATGCTTGGCTAGACTAGCTTGCCCTGTTGGCTAACAGGAGAAAGAAAGATATCAGAGAATGCCGATGGGAGGCCTACAAGTCAATTATCAATATGAAACAGGTGCTTTCCATGTTAATCTTAGGCATTCATTTGAATCTTCTACTCAGTACTTTTTGAACTGGGAGGCACATTCTGTAGAAGCAGAGAGAGGAGACATTTCCTCTCCTCCTATGTGCCCCATGGCAATATGTGCATTGTACAGGGATACATCACACACCTGCCAGTGGGAGATATCTCAGTGTCTCTCTCCCACTTGAGTATGATCTACAAATGTAGGTCGAGGAAAAGCCAACATATTTTGCTTCATCTTCATTGAGGCTCATGCAGTCCACACCAGCCAGGTATCATAAGTAAGCTGTACTGCACAGAACACAACATTCAGACTTTGCAAATCACAACCACGGAAGAGAACAGATGCCAAGGGGGAAATTAAGAGAACATCTGCAGCTTGCCATTCCTAAATCTTACTGTAAGTCAAAATGACACACATCAAGAAAGAACAGCTGGATGCATAGGAAGTTTTCTGGACATCAATCAAGCTGGAGGACATTGAGAAATGCAAATGCATTGCAGTTTAAAAGTAATAATTACAGAAAGCAGCTGTGTAAGTCAAACCAGACAACATGTGGAATTTGAAGAAGTTGCTTATTAATTAGTGCCTGCAGCAAGTTATGCAAAAGCATCTATCAAAGGGAATTCCTGGCAAGAACAGCAGGAAATAAATGAAAATCAAAAAAGAAAGAAGCTCTTGAGTTCTCCTTGCATACGTAAGGAGAGAGCTGATATTACTGGCAAAAAGAAATACACCCCTCCACACACACACACACACACACAGACACACACACACACAGCTACAGTAGGTTGCATTAGAGAAAATTCTCTGGTCACATTTAATAAATTCCTTGAGCTATTCTATCCTGAAATGGACAAAGATGTTCTAATTTTCTTAGCTCCATAAGCTTATTTACTTTAAATGCCCCATTACATTTGTGGTTTCCCAGTAACAGTACTTTGCCTCAGTAAATCCATCATTGCTCACAATGCTTGCCTGTAGAAAACCAAGTCCCTGCCGCAAGGTTCAAGTGTGAACTGTGAATTGTGAACAGGATGGGCTGTTTAAATAGTTGCTGCTATTACAGTATTGACCAGCAGCAAGAGACCATTTTGTGCAGATATAAAGACAAGATTTAAAGAGAGTCATTGACCACAATAAGCTGTGGCATGGGAATCTATTTACCCAGAGTTCATTATGGGATTGACTACTCCACCAGGACAAATTGCAGATTCTTTTGGACATTTCCTAAAAACTTAGCAGCCCAGGATAAGATGAACCTGGCCAACATCCAGAGACATAAAAATTGAGAGAACTGCTGTGCTCTTCCTAATACATTGTTAGACTGCCATCCTTTCGTTGAACCAGAAGAGTGTGCAATTCTAACCGTATTACCAACACGGGAAAAAGCATCATTACTCTAATGTTACTGTAAACATGTACTTTAATGCGGAGTGGTGTTTCTGTGTGGACATGTGGCAGGGAATACTAGGATACTGCCTCAATTTTGAGAACAATTTTGATGTGGTCATGGGCAGAGGGGGGGCAGGGCCAGCCCACCCATAAGGTGGACTGAAGAAGCCACCTCAGGCAGCAGAATCCCACAGGGGATGCACAGAGAGATCTTGTAAAAGTTCAGTGAGATCTTGTGCAGTCTTGTTAGATGCTGCCATGTGACCGTGGTACGCAAGGCTCTGACAGTAGGGCTGGCCCCTTCCCAACTTTGCCTCAGGTGGCGAAACAGGACAGGCCACCCCTGGAGGGTGGTAATTTTGGGGGGGAGCAGCTGAAGTCTAGGTACTTGGTCTCCATCCTCCTTCTTGACCCCTCCACTCCTCAGAAGTGCCTGCCTCCTTATTTGCTGGGCTCCCTCGTTCAACAGTGCTGTTGCACAGCTCCAGGTCGATCCAAAATTAGACCATGCTCATCCATTTCTTTATTATGAGTGAGGGGCAGGTACCACTGACACCTGGGTGGGTGATCTAGGTGAGACTGACCTAACTCTGGAGTGCCTGACTGGATCCTCAGTGCAGAACAAGGCAAGACTGGAGGGTCAGGCAGGGGTGTCACCATGGACCTCAGGAGTTCCACCTCCTTCAAAAGAAAACCTGTTGACCCCAGGGTGGGCTTAGAGGGTTTGCATTCAGTGTTGGGTGTGAG